GGCAGCCACTTCAGCCAAACACAAGCGGTGAAGTGCAATGCACTTGCCGCACTGTTTATTTTTGCTATTGCACCAGCAAACTGATGAATCCTCCTGCTCCCCTGGAGTGCACTAGTATGTTGTGTCAACAACAGCTTCCTCAACCACAGTCAGCCTGTGGCCAGACTGTGAACTGTAACGTCAAACTTGAAAAACCTAACTACAGAACATGTAACACTGTGTTTGGTATTTATGTATTGTGATTTCCATGGTATTTATGAACGTATTTATTGAGTAGTTTCTATGCAAGAAAGAAAACTATTATAATTTATTTAACTTCTACTGGATTTTTTATTCCTACTATTAATTTCTGAAGAAATACAATCTCATTGTTCTGTACTTGATTGTATGTCTAATTAGCTACTCCATCAGCTAACGCAAAAAATTGCACTTACATACACAGAAATTGATTGTGAATGTAATTACTCCTACCAATGTATTATTAAAAGTTTTATATGAGAAATCCATTTGTTATGTTTGACGTTTTAAATTTTCATTTGCTATATTTGGAAGCAGTCTGCTTTATCTTTGTCAGTTTGATTTCTGGAACTGAAATGAAACCTTTCAGTCCATGGTACCATAATTCCCCTGTCATGGTACCTGACATTCCTGAATACACTAACAAATCCTTAGGTAGGGTAAAGGGCTCACTTTCCTCTTTTGGCTGTTCCTGATCCATGGGGAGGGGTGGGCTGCAGGCCAAGGCCCCTTCCTTAACTCCCTTGCAGACAAGAGAATTTTACCCTCAGACACCTAAGCACTGCCAGTGTACAGATCAGCCCCAGAGTTGTAAATCTCTACTACATCAAAAGGCCACCATTTAACTATCCAAATGGGAATTTGTGATCTTTACTTTGGGTACCCAAATAGCAAGCCTTTGCCCTGGTGTAACAACCGCTTCTTATTCTGATCCCTGGAATGCAGAGTGCTGAGCACACAATGCCTGCCTCTTTTAAAGATGGTCAGAAAGGGAAATGGGAACAGGAGAGAAAGGGCACAGGTTTAAAGGCTGTTACTTTAAACTAGAGTATACCTGTTTATTTGAGGGATGCACACGTTTATGTCACTGTTACCTCTGATCTAGATAGTCTTACAATAGCAGAAGGATTTTTGCCAGGTAGTTGCGGGATAGTAAAATAAGAGAGAGCTGTTTCTGGCTTTCTTCTTCTTGAAGACCCTTCTCAGTAAGATTGATGCTGATCCTCTCCTTGGCCCATGTTGTGTCCCTGCATGACAATTTTATAACCCTGAATAAAAGCACTACAAGGCCAGGAGAGCAAAGTAAGGTTAGCACCACTTTGTCTTCTGAAGTGGGTATGTTCTCTTATTGAAAATGAGATAAAGGCTGAGTTTCCCTCTTTCTGTTACCACTCTTTGGCTTAATGTAATTTTTCTTCAGGTGCCAGTAAAGTAAATAAAAAATATAACTCCTTAGGAAGCAAAATTAACTATATTTTTAAGTCAGCTGAAGTAAGAAACAACTAAAAAAAATCAGCTGCCTGTAGAGCTGGAAAAGCTTTCACAGAGTTAGCTTGTAATCTTAATGTGCAAAAAATTGCAGCATAAACCAATCCAGACAAAATCCAGAGCACAGTCATCAGCACTGAAGTCACCAGTCCTCACTTACTGGGAAATACTCTAGGTAACCTGCTGCTGTTAGAGGGAGGACTTGACTACTGCAAGTAAATAGTAAAAATAAAGTTCTCTGATAATTTGAAGAAATCTCTTCTTGTAATATGGATCAGGATTTACTAAATGTGCTGCCAGCAAGAACACAATTAGGAAAGCTGTGTTCAGACATGGTAGAACAGGTGTGGATATTGACTCAGTAATTTCTGGAGGGTTTGTTCTCCTTTTTGGGGACTGAAAGTAAGAGAAAATTCCGTCATCCAAACTGCTTTTTGTCTTCATGGTCTATCTTACATGATCTGAATAGAAAGTAGCAAAGTACCTGTTTTCTGATCCAACTGACTATAAGAAAGCTGAACCACTAAGGTTCTTTACACAAACTTGTTCCTTTCTGCTCACCCCTTAAGAGTTTTCAATACAGCAAACCAGGATGAAGGCTCTCGTTAGGAACTGCATGACTCCTCTAGATACACCGTGTTCTATAATCCCACCTACCTGGTCAGACTAGGGGGAAAGCTCAAGAAAAGGAGGGTGCAGCACTGGTTACTTCAGCGATTAGGGCACTCCAGCTCTAAACAATGTGCCCTGTGGCCCTTCAGTTATCAGACCATGCAGAAGCCCCAGGGGAAAACGGCACCCTCTGGAACCACACAGACTATGCCGTAAGTGTCTCTGTGTGTGTACATCTGCACGTCTGTGTAACATACCAAGAAGCTGAGCAGGCAGTGATTAAGAGCCAGAACACTTGCAACACAATGGAGAGACAGACCCTGGGATTTCACTGCAGTTAACTAAATGTCCTTGTTCATCTCCTCCTTCTCCCAATCTCATGAAAGTTTCTGCTCCCCTTGGCCACTTCATTTAGCATCTAAGTTGTATTTCTGCAAGACTCTCAGAAGGCCATTCCACTTTACAGCTGCCATGTGTATTCATCCCCTTCCTTTCATCTCACTACACTCCTCACAATGAAAAGTAGCAGAGGTGTTTACATGTCCCTTCTCTCCTCAGCTATTCTCTTGGTCCCTTATTTAACCTTCCTTCCAAACCACTTTTATTTCCTTCTTTCACCAACAAGTTTGGTTGGGGGGCAAGAGGAGAGTGGCAAGTACCAACCAACCAAGCAATGTCATTTCCTTATCCTCAAACTCCCCCTCCCATGCTTGGTTGCTGGAGTTCTGCTCTTGTATCAAAAGTATTTTCAATCACAAACTGTAATTTGTTCCCTTGAACTTCAGTGTTACTGTTCTTGTAATACTGTAAGTATATTTCTCTCAAAAGTATAAATGCTGCAAACTATAGATGAAGTCATTGGAAGAAATACTGGAAAGTCCCTGAAAAAATACTTCTAACTCTTAGAAGAATAGAGAATGCAAACTTTAGTTTGTTGGCCTCAACCTCTCTGTTGGTGCAGAATATTGACTAATATAAACATCCTGCTCCTGTATAAGGTAACAGATGCATGACCCATGCTGTATTTGCTTTTGATTATCGATTGCTTCCCATTCTAAAATGATTGCATTTCTTTTGTTCTTATCACATAATAATGTTCCTGGGAAAATCCCAGGAAAGTTACACATAACACTGCCCTGATATTGCAGACTTGCTCCAAGCGTCGCATTTATTCCTGTTTATAACAGGATATTATGAGTGACTCCACAGGAAATGGACCCTTTGGAAATTATACAAACTGCCATGGAAATTCTGGGGTCAGCAAATAGGTATAGTGTTTCTGTGTGCCAAAGCGAAACGAGTTTTGCCACCTGTAGAAATAAGCCTGAGATAACTGTGGTTGCAAACTATAATTAAAATTGATTTTTAATATTACCTGCAGTTAAATTATTTTTAATAATAACCATTGGTGCCAGTCAGTGCACAGATGACTTCACAATCCCTGTGGATTTCTAGGGAGGGAGATTCTCAGTGTGGAAGAATCCAGAAGATTACAGGTATAACTAAGCTTACTGAAACTGTTTTCTCTGCCCTTTCACGAAACAGGCAGCAGTGTGACATCTCTCTATAACCTTCTGCAGGCAGATTTCAACACAGCTATGCTGAATAACTTAGTACCATTAAACAAATACCATTTATTTTAGCAAGTACCAACCTTTGATAGGTCCAGCTATCTTATTCTATCAAAGTTCAAATTCATGAGGAGCACGATAATTTTGTTTTGAAAAAAAGCTTTGTACTCAGTTTGCCAGATCCCACCTGTGTGTATCTCCATGGACTCAGCCAAGGACTCTAGCAGAAGGATAAAGTCCATGTTGGCAACTCCAGTACTAGTGTGTTGATTTCTCCTACTCCTTACTGAAAGACAGGTGAACTGGGGAAAATCTAATCTTTTTATCTTTTACAGAAAACTTTTTCATACATAGACACATAAAAATCTGTGGAAGTAAAAGGTCATTAGGCAAGCAGCTTCTTTTGAGGGCCTATTTGGACCCAGTTAATCGACTTACCTCCTGATGAGCCTTCAGTTTTTGAGAAGGAGAGTTAAGCAGCTTTTCTGACTCAGCTAACACAAAATGCCAGAATTCCAAAACCAATTTTTAAGCACTGAACTAACATTCACATTGAACTCCTCAGAGCTTCTACTTTTTCCTTGAAACTATTTTCCGGAATGATGAAAGCTTTATAGCTCATTAGAGGAACAAATGAATAAGTCCACCCCCTTAGCCCAGCTCTTTTATTAAAGATATATATTGTATACTTGCACAGAAATAAGGAGTCTTCAAAAATACTGACGATTCTTCTTCTCCTCTTCTGTTTTCAAGACCACACTTTTTTCAAGTTTGCAAGCAGACAGGAGAATCAGAATTGAACCCAAAATGTCAATAAAATGTCAGAAGCTTGAAACATTAATCGCTTCTATGTGAAGTGTGTGCTAAAGCATTTAGTGAAAGGTTTCATGAACAGTGAGACTGGACATGATAGTGAGAGCCTGGATTACATGTGTTTCTTTTTACTTGAAGCAGAACTTCTTGAAGGAATAAGAATGTATGAGAATGACCCACTGTGTGTGGGCGAAACACAAGCACAGACAAAACAATTACACTGCAGTTAAAAGGGAAGGTTTTCTAACTGAAAGTCAGTAACTAATTAAGAGTTTGTCCATGCAGGTGTCAGATCTTCGTGAGAGGGGCTTTGTCACCCAGCACAAATAGTGAAAAGCAAGTGACTTGTCAAAACATCTGATGCTCTGAAAGCTTTGTGTTTGACCTATCAATAACCAATAAAAGAATGCAGAGCCACCTGGCTGGTACGTGGCTGAGCCAGACAGCACCACCAGCAGACCAGTCATCAAGCCAATAAAAATGTGTTTGCTGACTTACTGAATTCCCGCTGTCAAAATTCTATCAGCTCCTCATTTTCTGCTTTCTTCTGTTTGGAACTTCATCTCTGACAGCAACGACCGTCATACTGCAAAAGAGAAGCAATTTACGTAGGCATTGCTTACCTTGAACACAAGTTTAATAAAAACAGCCAAAGAAAACAGGTTTTGCTGTAGCTGGTTCATACTGAACACTGCAGCTTCATCCACTCCTCCTAACACAAAAAACACCCCAACTGGTTTTTGCATAGTCAAATCTTTGCCCAAAGTCAGCAGGAGACTCCATTGACTAAGGAACATGGGAAAGAGCTGTCAATCCACCCGCACACATCTGACCTGTTGGTAGGTTACATCCTACGGTCATTTCCCTGCTAAAAAATTCTCACAATATTATTCCTGCTTGGAGGAAAGGATGAAGGAGAGCATGTAATGTCTTCTGATACTAAAATGACTATTAAAAGAAAGAATAAGAAGAGAATGCATGAGAAGCACCCTGAAGAATTTGTTTCAAATGGCGTGTACTAGGAACACAAGCCAGGGCCACCCAGATGGAAAGTGTGCTTGATGGAACAGCACTCCCCTAAAAAATGAGGATTTGAACAAAACAAAAAACTTCATTAGAATACATATGATTTTGCAAATTCAAGTATATATGCAGATACTAATGGTAAACTTTATCTAAATTAAACAACTCTTAGCTCACAGCAGAACAGTATTTGGAGAAAAGTGAAATGCATTTTTCAGTCAATGTCCTGATCATATTTATTTTATGGGAATTTTGTAATGTTTAGCAGAAAACCAAAGGTAAAAATGAGAATTAAAATGGAATCAAACGTTCCTCTTTTCATGAGCTTATTTTCTAGAGAAAGCCTCTAGTATGTTTAGTCTCCTACCACCTCAACATACTCCTGATGGGCATTCACAAGCAACTTTAGGAAAGAAAAAATGCTGTGCTCATGTTAGCTGCCATCACTTTTAAAACGATGTCTTGACATATTCCTGTACCTTGTGTGTTTTGAGGCAACATGAAGTCCCACAAGTTGAAAATTTAAAAAAAGGAGGGAAACCAACAGAGAAACACAAGATAATGGGGGCTGTAACCATCCACTCTGTCCTCACTGGTGATCACATTCATCAAAAATGTTATCGATGGGTTTCCTCCAAACACCTCCTTCCCTAAACACATCCTGAAACAAGATGAAAGGACATGTGGCACTCTCACTGTTTTGTGTGTTCACTGTGAATTGAGCAAACTTATCACTGTCATTTTGCCTTCCTTTCAACAAAGAACAGGCATTTTTGTTGCCAGGAACAATGGAGTTCATTTTACCACAGACTCCAAA